ACCACGGGCCACCCCGGTGTCCCCACCTCCCTCCGAAGCACCGAGCTGATGGTGGAGGAACCCTCAGCGTCGCCCAGGAGCGCTGCCCAAGCCTCCAACCACCCGAGGACCACTAACAACCCCTCGGTGCGCTTCCAACCCGGCGTTTCTCCGGGTTGCGACCGCACTTCCATAACTCCTCGTGCAACCAAGCAAACCCCAGGCGAGGCCATGGGACAAGCCGTGCCCAGCCCTGCCGAGAGCCACACGCACGTGAGCCAGCGCCCCAGGGAAGCCCCAAGGCTGGAATAGCCTGGAAGCCAACCGACCTGCGCAGCCCTCCCTGCAGCACAGCCATAAAAGCCACCAAGCCACGGCCAGAAGCTCTTTTGTACCCATTATCTCCACATCAGCAGTAGCAAGTGTGAGGATGGAAGGAAAACAAGAAGCTGGCGGTGGTGCTCGGGGAGCGAGAGGTGTCACAGAGGGCTCAGCACCCATGGAAAAGGGTCCTGTAACAGCAGGGAAGCCCACAGCAGCAGAGGAGCTTCCACCAACACAGGCAGCTTCACCCAAGGTAAAGCTTCAGGAGCTTGCTAAGCCCAAGCACAGAGAGAAATGCAAGCCCCACAGGAGCTCTTCCTTACAGAGCTACACCTAAAAATATTACAGCAGAAAAGCATACCTTGTTTTTTCACCGGAAAGAGAGCAGCAGCACCTTCAGGGACCTCTTGGCAGCTCAGTTTTCACTTTCTGCAACCACCCAGCTCACCAAACCACCACCCCACAAGGCAGCTCAGCACGAAGCTGCTTCCCAAGCAGAAGGAGTGAAGTCCTTGGAGAAAATGGGGAAGGGCAAGGTGGGAGGGCAGCAGCTGGAGGGAGAGGGGAGCAAACGAAGCCCAGCTGAAAGGTATCTGCTCAGAGGCTGAAGGTGCCTTCTTCCATGGAGTTTAAAGAGCCAGCAAAGAGTAAAGCACATTGAGAAAGCTTTCTATGAAAAGTGCAACTCGTATTAAAGTGCCTGCCACACAGGCAGGGAAAAAAGTTGTAGGGGCATGAAATGGCTGGGGAAAGGGGGTTTCTAGCCTTTTAAACATCCCCATGATAAAAACGAGGATGGAACTGCGACGAGTGGTTGGGAAGGAGAGCGCGATGGGGCGATGCCCATGGAAAGGACGGCAAATCCCCCCCGGCTCACAGAGCGGGTGGCTCACGCGCCGCGCGGGCGAAAATCACTGCGGGCACAAACGGGTGCAGGTCCATTAGAGTTCCCTAGCTGCAAACTGCCGGGGCGTGGAGGAGTATTATGGGATTGTTCCAGCACACTCCTGCCCTCCTCTTCCTCCCAGGGAGAGACCGGAGGAGTCAGATCTCTGTCCGACCTGCTCCAGCCCCTCTAACGTTCTCAAAATAAACCCTGAACTGAATTTGATTTTTTTTTTCCTTTTCTTTTCCTTTTCTTTTTCTCAGCTGTAACTGCAACGTCCTCTCCCTGGAGGTTCATCATCACCAGCCTCTGTGCTAATGAAAAAATGCGATAATGTTTGCCTGCTTCCTGGGGGTGGTGGGAGGCACGATCTAATTAAAGGTTCGCCAGCAGCTCCAGCGCTGCAGATGGATGCTTGTTCGGGAAGTGCAAAGTATGATGATGATGATTATTATTATGACGAAGGCTAACACCAGGTTTCATAAACAGCCAACAGAGGAGGCGAAGCAGGCGGTACAAGCACAGGCAGGGCTTGTTCTGCTGCTTGCACCCTCCTTTCAGCCTTACATAAATGTGGCCACGAAGGGTGGGCAGGGGGTAGATCCTATCGCTGCCCAAGGAATGAGTGGCTCGCGGACGGGCTGCGCTCGGGCTCTCGGCGAGGGCTTGGCTTTCTACCTGGAGGAAGAGCCAGCTGCCCAGATCTTTGGCTGCTTTGGGAGGTGTTGTCTGGGTTCCTTCGGAAGAGGAGGTTAGAAATCACCGTGGGGAGGACCGACAGCTCCTTCCTGCCTCGGATGAGCAGCTCGCTTCTTTCAGGAACACCGGCAGCCCGGAGCCTTGAGCAACTCCATCCTCGACATCAGGATGCAGCGACACAAGGCAAAACCCACCCTCGAGACGTTGCCCAGGGCAGCACGGTCCTTTTAAAGCCAGCTGTGGAGAAGGCTACAAATATAACCCCCGTCCACTCCGGCTGCGCGGCCAGTCGGTCCGGTACGGAGACACTGGCTGATAACTCAATTTATAAGGTAAAAAGCAGAATCCAGGCCTACTGGTTGATATGAAGGTTGTGTTAAAAGCAATATTCCCTTTAGGACTGTCCTGGTGTATCTATCAGGTAAGAAATAAATGTCAGGATGGCTTATGATTGCACCTCGCTACGTAATAAACCATCTCTGGGTCAGTCATCGCGCACCCGGCGACCTTCACGCCCTTGTTTGGGTACCTAAGCTGTTTATGAACGTGGTTTTTAGCTGAACCAAAAATCATTAATTCTCACCTGGAAACAAACACCGCCTGTGTTTCCTTACTTAATCACAGGCTGCATCTCCCCTCCTTCACTGACCTTCATACCTCGGGAAAGAATGTGCTCCGGAGTTGGAAAACAAATTAGCGAGCGCCATACTGGCAGTCCTGGGATGCTTGTAGGAGCGGGGAGTTAATGAGGCGGACCAAAATTATTCCAGACACCGCGTGCTCCAGAGGGGAAAAGTGTTTTGTGGCCACGTAGTGACAAGGGACAAAGAAAACATTGGAGGGAAAGGAGACGGCAGCTTGATGGAGAGCAGCAGAGAGCCGCGGAGATTTAAATCAACCCTCTCCCACCTTCAAAAGCAAGGAGCGCTTTCAAAAGCCAAGGTCAGCTTGAGTTTGCCTGCCCTCGGATGGAAAAAGATCTCTGATTTTGGGGGGTGGCAAGGAGGTGGCTGCCAAGGTGACTACAATCTCAGCCAGCCTGGAGTATGTTCCTCCAGCTCCAGCTTTGCCACCCGGTGCTGCCCTCACGTGGCTATTGAGCGGGAATAGTGATGTTTGGGCTGTTCTTGCAGAAAATAACCCAGAATAGACCAGAAATAATTCACAGCACCAGTGAAGCTCGCTTTCTGTCCTGCAGCCCTCCGGGTAGCTCGGCCTCTCAGCTCGCAGATGGCGTTTTCTCTGCGCATCAAGAGGCGGCAGCCTGCGAAACGCCTTCCCCGAGCTGCGTCTCGTTGTAGCAGCGAGACGAATTTTGTTTCACAGAATCACAGAATGGTCGGGGTTGGCAGGGACCTCTGTGGGTCACCCAGTCCAACCCCCTGCCCAAGCAGGGTCACCCAGAGCAGGCTGCACAGCACTGCATCCAGGCACGTCTGGAATCTCTCCAGAGAAGAAAACTCCACAGCCTCCCTGGGCAGCCTGGGCCAGTGCTCCGTCACCCTCAGAGGGAAGAAGTTCCTCCTCATGTTCAGACGGAACTT